GTTTGCACCCTTTGGCTATTGTAGATAATGCTGCTATTGATTCATTCTTAGGTGAGTTTGTTTTTGGAATCCCTGTTTTTGAATTTTGGGAGTAGATAGCCAGGAGTGACATTGTGGCGTCATACAGTAATTCTGTTTGAGAAGTCATCAAGCTCAATCCACATTTTCTTCTTTGCTATCTGTCGATGGCAGTGTGGGTGGTACCAGCCAAGATATCACTCAGCCTAACTCTTCAGACCAGAGGCTGGTTCTTCTTCCTGCCCTCCTTTTCTGTTATAAACTCCACACATATAGCCACTCAATGCCCACACCCCACGACAGCCCCACCCAGACTGGCTGGGAATCAGGGCAGGGCCGCTCAGGGCTGTGCCAAGGAGAGAAGCAAAAGCCAAGCATGTCCTCAGCGTAAAGGGACCATCCAGGATGTCTCTCTAAGGAGCAGGACCTCCCAACCAGAACCCTCCTGTTTACAGGCTGTCTGGTGACTTTCCTTGGCAAGGAACTTCTTGGACAAGGCTGCAGCCCTAACAGGGTCCTAAACCATCAGGCATGTCTGCTGCTTCCGCACACTGAGGCCACAGACAGTTCTAGAAGTTGATGATTTCTTGTTGCTGGGAGTAAGCAGTTTGCAAAGTGAATGAACTGAGGCCTGCAGTCAACTGACTCCAAAAGCCTGGAACAAGTAGTGCCATGTGGGGTGCTGTGTTTGAACCCCTGCAGGACCCCCACCCCTGGCCCCAGGAACCTGCATTCTAGATGTGGAGAATGGTGTTCCATTATAATGTCTAGAATCTAAATAGAGTGTTAGAGGCTACCCCTCAGGATGTAAGACATTCAGGAAGGGGATATTCAAAACAAACATTCACTTGGCTTTATAAAGTGTACCAATGTGTGTAAAGACATAAGCTTGATGCAGGAACAGTAGCTTTCCTCAGCCATCTTTGTTGGTGGTTCTTAACAGGTAACTGAGGAAACTCAAAAACTCACTGCCCATGAGTCAGATCCGACTCATAGTGACCCCTCCTCGGGTTTCCATGGCGATATCATTTCTGGAGGTAGATTGCCCGATCCTCCTCCTGATGAGTGGCTGGTAGGTTTGAACCACCAGCCTTCTGGTTAGCAGTCAGATGCCTTAGGCATTACTCCACTGGAGCTCCTAGGTGACTGAGGAAGGAGTGAAAATTCCTTCTGTAAAGCAAAGTGTGTCCCCCACACATACAGTGCCACACCATTTTCAAAATGCTTCCATGTGCCTTGCCCACTGACTGTAAGCCCCATGAGGGCAGGGAGCTGTCCGTGGCTCAGGAGAAGACACTCTTTCTTGGGCCACAACTTCATTTCTGTATTTCCAGTGCCTGGGCAGGGCCTAGTATGGAGCTAGCCCTCATACTCGGAGGGGCATGTGACTAGAACGTGGATGGATAAAGTCACTCGTTCCGTTTACCTTCACTTATAAAGTGGGCAGAGAATGTATTTAACATGCCCACCTGACAGTTGAAGTAGACTCAGGGAGGTTTCAGTGACTGGTACACAGTCACTAAGCCAGTCAGCTGGCAGAGCCAGGACTAGAATCCAGATCCCCCTTCAGCCCTAAGGCCCTCACTCTTGTTCTGAGAACTCAAAGGAATCAGGAGAGCTCCGGCTGGGATCTTAGAAGGCTGAGCCAGAACCCTGGAGGAGAGAGGGGGCCACTCCAGAGGCTGCCTTTTCTTTCCTAAAGTACCTTATTTCACTAGGGAGTGTTGTTTGGGGATGGGCAGTGATGTTTGTGGCAGACCACCGTCCAGAATCCGGGGGGGGGGGCAGGTCACCATAACACGGGCCAGGAGAAGAGTTGGCAAGGCAGTCAACCAGTGCAGTTTCCAGGCCAGGGAAGCCCTGGGATTCACCCAGTGCCTCCCCTGCCCTCCTGCTGGGCTGGGGCCCCTCACCTCTGGGAGGGGGGTTTTGTAGGGACCTTTACTCCCAGACATTCACCCTAGAAACACCTGGGCTGGACCTGTGGTGTGGAAGGTTGGAAAGCCAGCATCGTGCAGAGGAAAGAGAAGCTACCAACTGCCTCCCAAAAAAGGGAGGAGAATAGTGTGTGGGACCAGTGGCAGGGGGCTGAGCAGCCCAGCAGGGACTGGTTAAAGCCAAGGTAGAAGGGGACCCACAGTGGCTCCATGTCCACCATGCAGAAGAGCCCAAAGGCCCTACTCCTTTGCTTGCCACCTTGTCACCTACTTACTACTCAAGAGTGAACCAACCATTCACTTCAGTGGAGTGGTGGCCTCACAGTCGGAATGGATTTGCCTGTGTGTTACCTTCTTGCATCTTCCAGAAACATGACTGGGCTCTCGGCTCTGCTGGCTGCTCCCTGAGGGGGCTGCTTCTCCTCCTCCCCGTCTCCTGCTTCCTCCGCCCTCCCCAGCCAGCATGTGCTCCACCCTGAGTGACTGAGTTAAAAAGGAGACGGACTGAGGTCCTCAGCCCAGCCCAGGATGGGGAGAAGGCTCCACAGTGGTTCTTGGCCTCTGAGCTTATCCTGCAAACCCCAGGGGCCCATTTTCAAAGTGCACTTGGCACCCTTGTTACCCTGGGGTGCCATTTTCTAAATCTTGCTCCTTTTACTTTCCAACCAGCCTGCACCCCTGCATCAAGTCTGCAGGGCAGACACTACAGAGAGCCCAGAAGGACAGAAGGGCAGAGTCATGACAGGGAAATTCTTGGCTAGACCACCCTAGAGACACTGCATGGCTGAGCCCAGGGCAAGTGCAGGCCAGCCCCATGCCTGGGGAGGGGTTGGGTCCAGAGACGCTGATGAAAGTAGCATGTCCTGCATTGTATCTTTCTCTCTCTGTTTTTTTCCAAGTTGGCTTGGAGTATGGCTCTTGTAGAGCCCATCCCATAAGGCTCTGAGTTAGAGGTGTTCTGAGTACCCACCATGGATACATACAGGGTGGGCAGGGGCAGATCGAAGAAGTAGGAGAAAGTACATCTACTCAGAGAAAGATGTACCCAAAAGAGAGGGCGGGTGAGGGCCAGCAGTGTCAAAGGAGACAGGGGACGACTCTAGGGAGGCTACCACAGGACCGAGCGCAGCAGGGACAGACCCACAGGCTGGGCCAGGTAGACAAGGGAGGCAGGGAGTGCCCCAGCTCAGGAATCAGCGGAAGGCGCGTGCTCCCCAGCATGGAGCCAGACCTGGAGGCCTCGCTGGCCGAAGGCAGGGGGGCATGTGAGGTCCAGGGGCCCCTACCCAGAGCCCACAGTCCAGGCCTGGCATCTGCCCTGCAGGGCCACCCAGCTCTCAGCACGATGGAGAAGCCTCTGCGCCAGCGCATCTGACGGCTCTGTTGTTGCTGTGTCCAAGCCCAGGTTTGAGCTGCAGCTGACGAGACATTAAGTCTTAGACATTAAGTCCACAAGTGATAACCATGTGTCTTTTCCTTTGTCCATTTCTGGCCTCTACTAATGTATAATGAGAAAGCAGGTGGGACATGGGTGTGAGAAGGGCTCCTAAGAACACTTCCAGTTACCTCAAACGTTTGGGCCTGTGGTGAGACGTGCCCCGAGCCTCCTCAGACAACCCGCCCTGGGTGGGCTGCTTGAGCAAAGCTAGTGTTCTCAGCCCATGGCCCCTCAGCAGTGTGTGCTGCCCGCAGGGATGCTAGCTCACCAGGAGGAGGAAAAGGACCCTCAGAATCAGACCGCCCTGGCCAACCATGCTTACTTAGAAAGCTCCTCACGTTGCCATGGGCCCATTGCTCACAAGTCCCGGCCCCAGCCTTGGCCTTCCTCTGCCAGGGTGATCACCACAGCTCAGCACCAGCTGTCCAACGCTGAGAGCAACATCTGTGAGACCAGGAGCATACTCAAAGGGGACCAGCCGTCTCCACCCAAATGCCACTCTAACAGTAAAGAAGGGACATTGGGCATGTGGTGCAAGGCCAGCCAGTCCCAACTGGAGGCTGCTAGGCCACCAGTCCCTTCTCCTTTTGCCCTCCTACCTCAGAGACAGCTGACAAGACATAAAACCAAGGTGCAGCATGGTTGTGCGAGCAAACATTAGGTGCCAGCCTATTTCAACAAGCTCCGCAGCATTTAAAATAATAAGCACCTTCCTGAGCGTATTCAGTGTGGGTGTGAGGCGAGAAGGAAGGGACTATTTTTACTCTGAGCAGGCCCAGCATGGCCACACAACGCAGGCCTCCCTCTGGCCAGGAGGAGACATGGCTCCCAAGGACAGGGAAATGTGATGTCCTACCGCAGAGAGCTTTAAAGGGGATTCGAAAACGGAAGCCCTGCCGACCTTTCCCTGTCCCACAGCAGACAGTGGTGGGTGGGTGGGTGGTGCTCCATGGCAGAACCGAGAAGTGCCTTCCGGGGCCTTCGGGGAATTAGATCTGATTCTAGCAGCCAGACCTTGTGACCAGCAGAGGTGAACTGGCCAGGAAATGTACAGGAAGACATTTCTCTCATCAGGGCACGTCTGTGTGGTGGGGAAGGAGAACTCCATTTATCGTGGGATGGAGAGCCTCAGAGGGCTCCCTGTTGCAATCAAAGATGACCAATAGAGTCTCAGTTGTCAATCAGAACCCCCCCCCACACACACACACACACCCCCTGCTCAGTGACAAGCCAGCTGCTAACATCTAAAAGCCAAGTGACTCCATCGTCAGCCTCAACCAGAGACCTGGTGGTTATGGTTCAAACCGCATCTCCCGGCTGTGGTCCAGGTCAACACACTGGCGTCCTCTGAAGCTGAACGGTAGGCCCGGCACCTCCACTTCGCTTTCCTTCCAGTTGAGGCTCCAGCCCAGCACCAGCCTTTCTTTGCCTTGCCCCTTCTCTGGGTTCTTCCAAGCCCTCCTTGGACAGACGTCACCGAGGCCTGGGACCCAGCAGCCCGTGGGAGCCTGGCAAAGGGTAGGGGCCCAGGGGCCACCAGGGAAATCCACCTCCTCCTCAAGTTGCCTGCTAACCATCTGCCTGGCCTCTTTTTCTGTTTCCTCCAGTGAGAAGCGCCACCTTCAAGTCAACGTCACCAACCCCGTGCAGTGCAGCCTGCACGGCAAGAAGTGCACTGTCTCCGTGGAGACACGGCTCAACCAGCCCCAGCCTGACTTCACCAAGAACCGCTCGGGCTTTGTCCTCAGTGTGCCAGGGAACTAAGCGCCCACCCCCGGGGGGCCCAGAAGGGAGCTGGAGGTGGCGAAGCCCAGGCACAACGGCCCGTGGGCAGCAGCCCTCACCCGCCCCCAGGACCACTCGGCTTGCTCAGCACCGCAGGGTCCAGTCTAATTCTTGCTAACGCCTTCCTAGAAATCAGTTCTCCGGTCCATGCTTGGGGAGGGGCCCATCTCTGCTTCTTGACAGCCTCTCCCCCTGTAAGGTTCCTTTCTGGCCTTGGTCTCCATCTTCCTCTGTCCTGACTGTCCACTGTCCCCACTCAAGAAACCAAAGACCGTGGTGCCCTGCCACAGATCCCCGAGCTGGCGTCCACAGCACACCTCAGTTCAGGAGCAAGGAGATGATTTCTTCAGTCGACTCAGGCCTCCCTGGTACGGCCAAGTCAGCTCGGTGCACCTGGAACCAATGGCCAGCTGCTGATCCCTGGAAAGGCAATGGGGAGCCCAGGATGCCGTTTCCCAGCCAAAGATGTGTTTCCCTAAGGGGGTTTGGGGAGATTGAGTGGAAAGGAGCCTAGCCCTGTGCCTCTTCCCATAAGGCTGTCACAGCCCCATACCAGGGGCTCAGCCATCAGGACCGGCTCAGGGCTCCGCAGCAGCCTCCCTGGCCCGGAGCAGCCAGCCGACGCCTCCGGGTGAGCAGGTTCACCTGTGGAGCCCGGCCCCTCAGCCTTGCCTAGCTGAGATTCTGTCCTTCCCAGAGCCTGCCCCAGGGGACTCTCCCCCATTCCCAGGGTCCCCAGCCCAGGCCACCGACCTCTTCCCAGGTGGAGAACACGCATGGGGATGCACCAAGGATCATCAGAGTTAACCACACAGCCTGCCTCCGTGGTTGTCTTACACTGATTTTTGCAGTTTGCAGGGCTGCTAATCAGCCATTGTCCGTGCTGTAACCACACTGTGTCAGGAATGCTAATAGGGAAGTAGGGTTGCAGGGCCGAGGGGAGCACGTGGGTTTGGAACCTTTCCTCGTTCAACACCTCTGTGTTTCATACTCCTTTTGAGAACTGTGACAAGGGCAAGAGGGACGTAACACAAGAACGGTGGGAGACAGCAGCGGAAGGCAGTGTGGGGTCCTGGTACTGCGGGCCAGGCCAGGACGCCCCCACCCGAGCCCGGAGCCCAGGCTGCTGGGCACCAGTACCTCACACCCAGAGGGCACTGCCGCCTTGCCACTTTCTGTCTGGCACAGAGCACACGTGCTTCAGAGGCCTTCCTAAGACCAGCGTCCTCCCCCAGACAGGGAAACACGCCCAGGTGTGAAGCTCCGAGCAGCCCAGGCCTCTGGCGAGGAGCCCTGGAGGGGGAGAGTGTCGGGACACCCTGTTCTGTAAGAGGGATCAGAAGCCTGGCAAGAATGTAAAACAGGGACGTACCCTAGAGTTTTCTTCACTTCCTGCCACAGACGCTGTCCTCCCCCCCCCCCCCAGTGCTCCCATCCTGACCCGGCAAAACGCATCAAGTGCCTGCGCGCACCCCCTCTGCCTAGCCCAGCACCTGTGTGGTCACCTGGTGGTCCCAGCCCACCCCACTCCTACCTCCCACTCCCCCCACTTCCAAGGGCTTGCAAACGTTTGCACTGTGCAATCTGCAACAAAGAATCCTGTCCGCCTGTCCTTAGGAACCCATTCTCATTCTTGAAGCTGGTCATCGCCATCCGAGGGGCCACCAGCCCCGATCAGCAATGCTCACAGTTTTGCCAATGACCTGTAGATGCTAGTGGACCCATCAAACTGGAACTTTACCTCTTTCTACTTATTTCCCCAAACTTGTTGCTTTTATGCTAGACACATGCAAATGTATGTTTTAAACACACCAAAACGGAACATGCCAAACGAGTTGCCTTTGCGGAAGCTGGAGGAGAGAGGAGGGCTTTGGGTTTGGACTCCCGCCTTCCCCGCCTTTCAGCCTTGCCTCTGGGCCCTCAGCGCCAGGTCCCAGCGGAGGGTGAGAGGACCAGGGACTGTCGAGCACTTTTTATAATGTACTACGAGCAGCGCAGCCGCAGTGTGTGGCGACAGACCGAAAAGGGATCAGGAATTTGGAGTGTGCAATCACAGTAATGACCCCGGGTGCAGAGGAGAAAGGAAGGGGACGCGGTGATCGTAGCAATGAAGTGTTTCCCTTGATTTAATTAAATGCAGTTTTATGGTTTGGTGCATATATTCTATTTTCCATTAAATTAACTTTATTTCTAAAGCATATTTTGATTTACCATCAAGAGCAATAAAGCTTTAAATCTTATTTTTAAAGGTGTTTTGCTTATCTGTAACTGAAAGACCTACAAGCGATGAGACTTCAGTGTGGTAAAGTCAACCGCATCCTAGAAGATGAAAAGGAGAAATAAGCACGAATAATTTTAAATTGAAGACAATTCGCTGGAGGCTTTTAAAGAAAAATATGAAATAGCAAGAGGGAAGCTGGGTGAGGAGGAATCAGAAGGGGGAAGGCAGCAGGAGTTAGATCCAAACACTTCCTCCTGCCACTTAAGAGTCCTGTCCTCTAGACCCTGGAAGCACACGGCTTGGTATCAGGGAGCATGCTCACTGGAATAAAAGCATGTTTGTATAAAGGCAAGGCCTAGGTTCCCAGCAGCACCTTGAGGAGAGGAGGTCTGAGTGAAAGCCCCCCCCCAGGCGGTTGGTTGCTTGGGGGTGGGTAGAGGAGATGGGGGTAGCAAGAGAATAAGAGAAAGGGATCAGGGAAAGTGCTGTCTCAGGCTGGGGAGGGGGCTACAGGGTGACAAGGCAGCCCTAGTACCTGGATGCCCTCTGGGTCTTCACTGTCAGAGGAAGAATGTACAGTGATGGCATTGACTCGGACCCAGGGAGCTGTCCTGAGAACGAGAACGGCCTTCCTGACTCTGCCTGAGCTACTTGTGCTCAGGGGAAGCCCTGAGGCTGGGGTGCGGGGTGTGAATGGGCTTCTGCGGCTGGCGGCCAGACTTCCCAGGAGGACCGCTCCACCCTGGCTACAAGTCCAGGGGCCAGAACGGTTGCTTATCGGAGAGTCTGAGGGCTGGATTTCCCTCTCAGAAACCTGCATGGAGGGAAACTGGCAAGAGTGGGTCACATGGACACCGTCGCCTCAGGGTGGCCTGGGAGCCTCTGGGCAGTGATCCCCGAGCAGAGCCAGCCCTGGGAGCACACAGGGGCAGCAGCCTTCAGGGCCAGGCCCCAACATACCAGGTGCGAGGCCCAGTGCCCCCGCGGGACCCTCTCCAGGCCATGCTATGCCTGACCTTGGCTACAGGGTCCCAGCCAGCCAGCTCTCAGTCAAGGGTGCCTTCCGTAAAGCAACTCCTGCCCCACCCCACCTGTGAGCAATTAAACCAGAGTTGACATAACCCGTGCTGCCTTCTAAATCACCTTAATGTGTTAATCCCTTTCCCTACAACCCTGTCCCTCTCCCCTCCCCCATAATACAAATCCAATTATGTTCTGAGCACATGAATCATTCATTAAAGCCCCCCCTCCCCACTTGGAAGCAACATGCCCACAGAGGTCGACGTAATGGATGGTCAGTGCATTTTATTTAATCCGCACGGTACAAAAATAAATAAAAATAAGGGAAGGGTAATTAAATTACAGCCAAACCGAGCTCCGTGACTTTGTCAGATTATAAACCACACATACTCACAAACACGCTATACATACATACAAAATGAGACAAATATAAATTAAAGTTAACAGTACCCACAGTTTGGTCAAAGAATAGCTACAGAAGAAATTGCACTATAAAACCAACATACGCCGCACGTGGATGAGCAGTCTCGGATACACAGCTATGAACAATTCCAAGTGGAAAAAAAATGGCACGTTTTCTTTTCATTGCAAGTTTAACACCTGTTGGAACAAAACTAAATCCTAGTAACTGCATGGAAAGAATATATCAACCCTTCAGCTTTACAAGAAAAAGAGAGAAACCAAGTCCTGAACGTTACTCCTGTGACGTGTTCTGTGCATGGGTGTCAATTTCACAGCCATCTGTTCGAAGGTTATTTTTCTTAAAACACAAAATGCTCCTGGCTTGCATGCACAATATCACTGTAAAAGCAACAATTAAAGAATAAAGGTTAGTTTTTTTCTATTTTTTCTTTTTATTGTTGTTCTCAAAGTAGTCTCAAAGCAGCACGTCCGATGGGTCCGTTGCTTGCACGCTGAAGTTATCAGTGGTTCCTTTACACAATACTGATGCCAGTGCAAGGGGAAGGAGGTGAACATGACAGGCTCCACAGGGGTGGAACCAGACAGCTGTCTGCCCTAGTCCTCAACCACTCCTGAAATTTGCACCTCCTCCAAAAAAACATTTTAAAAAAATAAATAAATACGGAGAGAGAGAAGGAAACAGACACAAAACTGGAATCCTGCAGATGCAACTTAACCACACAGGCTCAGGCCAGGTCCAGCCAGCCGAACGTGTGACGACAGTGCGCGAGGCACCACTTAACACTTGGCTTTCAAATCTCTCCCATCCATGCAGGCCTGGGGCCAGCTGCCCACACCAGCCTCCCACCTCCGTCACACGTGGCGGCAGGATCTGAACAGACAGGCTATGTGACAACTCCAGCAGAGAAGAGACGCTGTAGTCCCGTCTGCCAGCGGCCGCGGGTTTCCTCTCGCTCTGCATGGGATTGGGATTATCGCAGTCTTGGGAATGGCTCAGGTGGGCCTCTCGGCGGAGCTGGGGCAAATGCTCTCCTGGGCCCGGCAGGCCCTGGTCCCCATCACTGGGACACGTCCATGGGCTGGCAGGATCATCTTCTGCTCCATAGCTCTCCAGCCGGGCCTCAATTTCACAGCTTTTCCTTCCTTTATGAGAATTTCAGTAGTGCTTGTGCTGACATCAGCAGCCACGGAGAGACCCTAATCCTATATAAACGGCCCTCTGCCCCCCAGCCACGTTCCAGCACGCCACGAGTGGCGCTGGAAGAGCGCGATCTGGCTGGTGGCATCTTCACGTGGGCCTTTGTTCCCCAAAGCC